CGCTTCCAGACTAAGATGGACTGGGAAGGAAGGCTTGGTGATCTACTTAAAATCAGTCAATGAAAACCCTATGGATCACAACAGTCTAATCCTGTTGTGCATGGGGTCACCATGAGTGGGGCCAACTTGACGGCAGAGAATAACAAACTTTCTGCAGTGGTGCCACATGTCAGACACTTCACATACATTCTCCCTTGTCCTCACAAAACCCCCTCGAGATGGGGCAGGTGAGAAAGCTGAGGCTCAGAGGGTTGGCAAACACCAGGCCCAGGCCACATGCCCACCCCAAGCAGGGCCCAGCTCACTCTGACTCAACCCTGGGTCCCTCCAGCCTCAATGCCACCTCAACAGCCAGAAACCTGAGGTGTGTCTGCCCCACAGCACACAGCACCAGGGAGAGGAATGGTCCATCTGGGCCTGGCGTGACTGCCTCCATCCATGAAACCGGATCCTGTAGCCAAGACACTCAGGTCAAAGGGCAGATTTGGGTCTCTCACATCTCCAAGCAGCCTGGTACCCACGGGGCAAAAGTACTCATTTGCTGTATATAAGCTGAAACACCAAATCCGTTGTCATCGAGCTAATTCTTGACTCATGGCTACCCCGTGTGACAGAGCAGAATGGACTCATTGGGTTTTCTTGGCTATAATCTTTATGGAAGCAGTTCTTCCTCTGAGCCGCTGGGTGGGTTCAAACTGCCAACCTTTCGGTTAGCAGCTGATCACTAACTGCTTAAACAAAAAACCCGGAATCAAGTTGCCTCCGACCCTTAGTGACCCTATAGGACATAGTAGAACTTCCCCATAGAGTTTCCAAGGCTGTAAATCTTTACGGAAGCAGATTGCCACATATTTCTCCCACAGAACAGCTGGTGGGTCCAAACCACCGACCTTTCGGTTAGCAACTGAGCACTTAACCACTGCGCCACCAGGGCTCCTACTAGCTGCTTACATGTTTAAAATACACCCCAAACTGATAACCCTGTTGTGCTGTATCTTCCTTTTTTAGTATACTGGGGCCTCAGAAAATGGAGGATCAGGCCTCTCTCAACCTCTGGTCTTACAAGGAGGCCACAAGCACCCTGACCGCAAAGTGGGGCGGGGGCACCTCATCAGCTCTTTGCTCTGCCCACTTCCCACCTGGCCGTCCGCAGGTCTGGCTCTTGGAGTGTGCGTGGTCCCACGGAGAACGTGGGCCCCTAGGGTGGCCTTCACCGTGCAGAGGGTCCTGGGTGCTGGCGACGCCTCCTCGTGATGCCCCACGCCCGCCCTCCACCCACAGAGGAACTGAGGCGGCCCTGGTGGCCGAGCTCAGGTGGGTCTGGGTGTCTGGGAGCAGTGGGCTGGCTTTCCACCACAGCTCGTCCAGGCACACCCCGGGTAACACTGGGCCTGTTGAAAAGTGGGTCGTGGGAGAACTCACATTTTACATTTCACGTTTGTTCAGTCCCTTCTAGAACGGGGCGTGGTGAGTAACCTGCTACTTCCTGGGAGCTCACAGTGGAAGGGACCTCGAGAGCCACCGTGTCACCCCTCGCTGAGAGGAGAAAAGGGCCACAGCCTGAGCAGAGCCAGACTTGCTGGGCTATCCCCTTGGCGGATACAGAGCAGGGGTGAAGCCGCTACCCCCAGCCCAGCGTCCCACGCATACCACCCTAGGACCTCAGGCCGCAGGCACCGCACAGCATGTAAGACCACACGTGCACACACACGCATGCATACACACACGTGCAGAAACACACGCACACGCGCGCACACACACAGGCGCACGCGCGCACACACGCGTGCACACACACAGGCACACATGCATGCACACACATGCGTGCACACACAGGCACACACACGCGTGCACACACACAGGCGCACGTGCGCACACACAGGCACACACGTGTGCACACAGACACACGCGCGCGCACACAGGCACACATGCATGCACACACACACGTGCACACACAGGCACACGCGTGCACACACACAGGCGCACACAGGCACACACGCATGCACACACACACATGTACACACACGCGTGCATACACACAGGCACACACATGCGTGCACACACACAGGCGCACGTGTGTGCACACACAGGCACACACGTGTGCACACACACAGGCGCACACACGCGTGCACACACACAGGCACACACATGCATGCGTGCTCACACACACCCAAGCACACACACACAAACTAGCATGTGTCCCTTTCAACCTCACAGCGTTGTCCATTGTTAAAAACACCTCTCGAATATTGCAGCTTTTGGAGTTGGCTACGAACAGACATCAAAGTGCAAACACGCCTGAAATGGAGGTTTATTTACAGCATTTCTCAGTAGCAACCTCAGGCAAAGGGTGCTAATTCACCCTCCTGCGGGCAAAGCACAGTGTGGAACAACTCTCAGACCCCAAACGTAGCTTCACAGGCACCCACTCCCCATGACGTGGGTTTGTTTGTGAACACAATCAAGAGGCCCGAGACCCCCTCAGGGTACAGATCCCCCAGAA